ATATCATCAAACATGTTTATTCCAACCCTACTGCATTTCTTCAAGACTCCCATCTTTTTTATCCTGAAATTCACCTCAGTTTCTCCTTAAACAAGTCTCCCACTCTTTTAGGAATTTTTCAAGATAGAGATTTCAAGTCCCTTCTCCTACCTGGATAAAAATATTTCCTGACACAAAGAACTAAGAGTTACATTTCAGTATGGCTGCTGACTCCTTGAACTCTAGTTCTTATTAAGAGCTTTTCTCTTTTTGCTATGACTGGTGAGAGTATTTGGTTTTCTGAGGTATTGGATAATAATCCTCCCTTGATTTTATCAACAAGTAATGAAGAATAAATCTGTTTTAGGGCTGATGAGATAGCACAGCAGGTAGGGTGTTTGCCTTGATGCAGCAAACCCAGTCTCAATCCCAGACAACCTATATGATCCCTTGAGCTCCACCAGGAGTGATCCCTGATTGCAGAGCCAGGAGTAAGTCTTAGAGCAGTGCCAAGTGTGGCCCCCAAACAAAACAAACACACAAAAATAATTTTGTAGTTTAAAAGCAAAGAAAGAGGAAGGACGAGGCAAAAATTTTAAAGAACCAACAAGTTAAACCTGAAAATGTTAATTTAACTCTTTGTTAATTTAACTCTCTCTTTGTTAATTTAAATGAACTCTTGTTAATTTAACTATTATGTTAATTTTTAAAGTAGTGCTTGGTTGGGCTTGGAATATGAGTCAGAGTTAGGATACATGTTTCACATTTGTGAGGCTCTGAGTCTGATCATGGTACTGCCATGATCTTCTCCCTAGTAATTCAGTGAGCCTGGTTGCCCCCAGCAGTGTCAGACTCAAAAGTACACAGTGGTAGACCTGCGCATTTGAACTGCCAAGCTGATGACCTTTGGAGTGCTCCTTAGGCCCTTCTGGGTGTGATACTTATTAAAATCTGTATAGTGTTTATGCATCAGGAATTCTATTTTGGAAATGAAAATAAGGCTTCTATATGACAAAGTCAAGATACTATAAGGATAGGAGAAATGGAAGTTCAGTTTTCTTGAACAGTAAACAACAAAAGGGATTTTAAATTGTAGTCAAGAGTAGACGTAAGGCTAAGCTTTAGATTGTAATAATAGATTGAGAAAATCACACCACCATTTTGAAGTATCTCCCATTATCCTTTTAAAATTTCTCCCCATTTTTATTTAGGTGCCATAATTTACAACACTTTTAATGATGGCTTCATGCATACATCATCCCAACACCCCATCCACCAGTAGCTGCCTGATTCCTTCCAGCAATGTCCCAAAGACTCCTCAAATCCACTGCTAAGCCCTCCTAGTTAAGCTCAGCTGTATAGAGTAACTCTACAATTTGGTTGCTTTTGACTATATGTTACTCCCTTGCCATTTATCTTTATTTTTAGAGATTCTATTTTTAATGGTCTCATTTTACTTGAGAAAATATATTTTTTTTATTTTTAATTTAATTTCCAAGTATTTGAGTTTTTCCCCATATATGGTTGAGGTTGATTTTCATTTTCAAAGCATTGTGGTATGAGAATATAGTAAATAGTATTTCTACCTTCTTGATTTTTATGGAGAAATGTTTTGTGACATAGCATGTTGTCTATCTTGGAAAACATCCTGTGTGTACTGGAAAAGAATGCATACTCAACTTTGGGTGATGAGTTTCTCTATATTTCTGCTAGACCCTTCTTTACACTTCTTCCTTCAAGTTCTTTGCTGACTTTCCATCAACCCCTTAATCTGAACTGATCAAGTCACTTGCTTTGATGATGTGAGGTGATAAAAATTGACACTGTATGAGGTATTTTTTGTTTGTTTCTGTTTATGGGCCACACCTGGTTGGGTGCAGGGTCTATTCCTTGTTTATGCTCAAAATCACTCCTGGAAGGTTCAGGAAACCATATGGGATGTTGGGGTTGGATCCATCCCAGGTTGGATACATGCAGTGAAAGCATCATACCCACTGTACTATTGCTCTGACCCCATTTTTTGAGATAATTAATTCTTTAATAAAGTATATAGAACTACTTTATGGTCTAATTATGGTGAAAGAAAAGAAATGACTTCAGTTTTGTTAGTATATTATGAATAATCAGAAGCTGTGATGAAATTCTTTCTCAGGTCTCATTCATCCTCTTATTACTAGGCTGGACAGGGTAGTGAAAAATTCTGTCCTTTCACTTTCTTCTTGTCCTCTTAGCAGTGCCTCCAAGGGCCAAACATAGCAAGAAGGCAGAGAATAAAGTACTTCAGTGATGTTTATGGACAGGTCAATTTCCAGGTACAAGGCAGAAAGAAAAGGTGAAAAAGGATTCTGGGGTGAGAGCAGAGGAAGGTATAGGAATACAGAGAATGTCTGCCACACTGGATAGATGAATAGCTTACTTTCTGCTTCCAATTTTCAGGTAAAGTCCTTGCCTTATATGATGTTTTATTTTCTGTCCTTAAACACTAGAGTACCGACCCTCACTACCACAGGATTGGATTTTTCTCATCCCAGAACATTATGAAAGAGCCTAATCTTCTGATATTATTGGTAAACTTTTATTGATTTGTCAAGACTAGTGAAATCTTGCTCTTAGTTAAATAATTCACTACTTCTTCCCTCCCTTCCATTGAACTGATACTTTCAATTCATAACTTTGTTATTATAAGTAAAACAATTTTCCCTTTCCATACAAATCTTGTTCGATGGTGTCTCCCTGTGAACACATTTTGTTAACATGATTTAAAATTATTTTTCATTTGAATTTTTAAAATTGGAATCTTGATTTATAATATGCTAATGATAGGGTTTTGTGCATACATACAAATTTCCAACATGACACTTTGTACTAGTGTCCGCTTCCCCAAGTCTCAATTCACTTCCTACAGCCCGCTACCCCCAGCCCTGGTAAGATGAGTCCTGTAGCTCATATATTTTTGTTTAAAAAGTTTTTAAAACATGTCCAATAATATATTGGCCATATTTTGATAGTCAAAAATGTAGGTTGGGAGGGGTGGGGGCTCTTACAGTTTCTTATAATGTCCTAAGTGGTGAAAGGGTATTAGAAAATTCCACCTCGCTGCCACCCCCTTGACAAGCATGAAGAAGCCACAAAACAATTTTAAGTTTTCCTTGGCAGAAGTTTTTAAATGTTGTGATTTCACAGTGAGCAACAAAAAGGTAAAGATTTTTAGGCTGATCTGAAAGTGGGAAGCATTTAGCATTTTTACTTAATAAAACTTACATTTTTAAAGGTAATTAAATAGGGGCTGGAGTGATAGCACAGCAGGTAGGGCGTTTGCCTTGCATGTGGCTGACCCAGGTTCGATTCCCAGCATCCCATATGGTCCCCTGAGCACCTCCAGGGGTAATTCCTGAGTGAAGAGCCAGCCAGGAGTAACCCCTGAGCATCGCTGGGCTTGACCCCCAAAATAATAAAGATAATTAAAATAAAAACTAAATGGTGATGAGAAAAAAATCACTAGAAAGTTATGAAAGACCAATTAAAAGAGAAGGAAGGTCCTGTTTACTTTGCAGTTCTTTGGATGCAGTACGATGTCCTGCCTTCAATTATTTGATTCAGTTTTAACCTTCTCGACAAGAACTGATATTAGATTCCCCAGATCAAACAAATCTTAGGTCCAGGAGATTCCTCCAGTTCCATTTTAAACAAACTGCAAGTCTGAATATTTTTGCTGCTGATGGATGAGAATTTCCAATAAACCCCTCCTTGCATCCATTTCACCTTCCCAAGGAATAAGTTTCCCATTGAAATCAGAAAAACATTTTACTTACTACCTTACAGGTTTTTTATAACAGAATAAAACTCAAGAACAGCCAGATAAAGAGGTGCATAGGTAGGCTATGGAGATATGATGTACATTTTCAATACCTTTTCTTGCACACACCCCTGAAGTCTGTGTTCAACTACTCAGAAGCAGCCAAAAATCCATAGTTTGGGTTTTTATAAAACATTCATAATGTAACCATAGTGAATTAAGTCTTCAGTCTTGGTTATCAACTCAAATGCCACCTAGGGAGTCTGAGCAGGAGTTTATGGTCAATATGAACAAGGAGAAGGTGGTGGGGGGATGGAGAAGATTAGAAATTTCTCAATCCTCAAATCATGTGATTAACAACCTGTTTGCATCTTTAGGTGTATTACAAAATTCCTCAAATAATGTGATTAACAACTCTGCATGCATATTTAGGTGCTCTATAAAATTCACTTCATTAACATAAAGCCTTTTGTCAAAAATGACATATTGAGAATAACAAGGCTCTTACTCCGTCTTTGTAAATCTGAAGCCATAGGACAACAAAAATGCACCAGCCCAATATAAGTCTTTGACAAAGGCTTAATTGCATGAGCGGGACCTTAAGGCTAGAAAGAGGTTGCATTTGAAATATATTTAGGGTAAACTTTTTTAACAGTAATAAAATATACTCTTATTTACTTTGTTGAGTCAGAAGATCATAAAAAAATATTGCTAAAGTATGTATCAGGCAAACAGAAAGGTGCTCTTGAAGTCCAGTTACCTTGGAGTTTATTTCAACTAAGAGAAAAAGGTCATGTTTTCATGCAATACATACTTGATTCTTTAACAATTATGATAAGTACAGAAAGAATTAAGGAATGCTGTACTTGTGATCCATACAAAACACCAGCATTTTGGGTTGTACATAATTTAAAGAAATATCTCAAACACTTTTTGAAATACTGTGGTAGCCACTACATAGAGGCATGCCTTAGATGGGCACAGGAATGCAGTTTAGAAAGAAAAAGAAAAATTACACCAGAGATACTCAATTTATTTAAAACCACTGAGCAAGAAAAGCAACACTGAACTTCCATACTGATTTAAACAACTTCTATACAGTACCTTGACTTAAATCCAAGAGCAATAGTTAAAACTCCTCTCTCCTCTATTTTTGGTAAACAACTGCATGGTAAACTTAGATGACTTCTCCCCCCTGGATTTTACCTGGGAGTGGCCTTTTAAATTTTTTTATTTAAAAGAGGGCAGGTTTGGTACTTTTATACTTATGTCACCAATGTTAATATTTCTTGGGATCTCAGGAAGATTCATATTCTTTACAGCTGATACAGCACAAGCTGGAGCTCCTGCTAAGCCAGCCTCAGATTTCTCCAGTTTGTTTTGTGCTTCAATTTGTGCGACAATTTCATTCATATTGGTCTCCAGGACTATTCCCCTCATCACCATTTCTGCAAGGATATTGTGAACCTTGTTCACATGGAAAATTAAATCCAGTTCACAATCATTTTCAAAACACTTGTCTACTGTTTCCACAAATACCTGAATTAAGTCTAAAATGTCAAGTTCACTTTCTGAAGAATCCACACAGAAAACAAAATATAATGTTGTATAATATCTGTATATAAGTTTGTTGTCAGATCATCCAATCAATAATCCTCCTTCTAGGAAGTTACAAACATTTTCATCTCTCTTAGATAGCAAATAGAATATCTCCCTGATGGTCTGCTGTTGTGTATCTTCACTGTAGGGCTGGTAGAACTTGGAGATCCGCGGCTTCCCTGGGTTGTTGAATATGAGAATCACCTTGATCATGGCTGAGCTTGGCTGAATTTGTGGGCACTGGAGGCCACGGGTGGGGGCGGGCATGCAAGCCTTGCCTGAGGATTTCGCCGGTGAGTCTTCCCCACTCACCCCCTCCTTAGTGTAAACTTTTTTTAATGTAAGTATATCTGTTCCCCAGTAAAAAAAATATTTAATTTTCTTATCTTCTCCACAAAAAATGATTAAATCTACATTAATTTCTCGTGGAAATCTCTCCAAGTGATTTCACTTTTCTGCTTCCCAGTATCTCCTATTTTAGCTAAACCTTAGGAATGCAAACAGCATGATGGAAGTTACTCAGCTATCCTGACTCTCTCCTATGTACGAAAAAGACACAAATTAATTTACACTAATTAATTTCATGGTGGTGAATCCGTAATACAGCTCATGAAGGATCCTGACGTACTGAGTTTGAATGCTCTGCTTGTCTAGGGCTTCAATGACTGCTTCAGTCACAACATAATCAAAGGCCTTCTTTACATCGATGAATGTTACACAGAGGGGCATCTTGAACTCTCGAGAAATCTCAGTGAACCTGGTCACCATGTGGATATGGTCGATCATGCTAAATCCTTTTCAGAACCAAGCTTGCTCACATGGTTGTCCATCTAGTGTTCTGCTGTTCTGCTAATCCTATTCAGGATGATTCGAGTGAACAGCTTGTAGACAACAAAAAATAGGCAGATTGGGCAATAGTTACCGATGTCGTGGATGTCTGCCTTTTGTACTGTAGAATTGTCCTGCTGGTTTTCCATTGGGATGGAACCTTGCATTCAGACAGGTAGAGTGTGAAGAGCTGAGACAGTATATTGACAAGTACTGAAAGCAGATTCTTCAGCTGTTCGGGTCTGACCTTGTCTGGACCGGGTGCTGTACGATTCTTTACCAATGAAATGGCATGTCAGATTTTGGAAGGAAGAACATTGGGGGCGATACGAACATCCTGTGGAATTTGATATGTGGGTGGTTGCTGTGGCTATCAAAGAGATCTGAATAGATGTCATGGATAATCTTCTCCATTGCCCTACTGGAAAATGTGGTAGATCCATCAGGACGTCGGAGGGCAGTCATCTTGTAGTTAGCAAAGGACAGGTGGGTGTTGTGAATACTTTTCCTGGCTTCTGCCACATCTGCTGCTCTGCTGCTCTCTAGCTGAAGTCTTCCTTTATCACTTATCTGCACTGCTTTGAGAGCTCAGATGTTCACTTGTGGTTGCCTGGGGCTCACAGCAAGCCACGTTGGTGAATGAGCTCGAGATTTTCCGAACAGGCATCCTTTTGTGCCTTTTTCTCTCTCTGTGTTCCTCGGACAATATTGGGGGAGCAATTGTATTTGTCAATGTTGTCAACGACAGCATCTTCCCATGTTGCTGTAATAGTGCCAAAGAGCTCCCAATTGGTGGTCATTCTGGTAGTTCTCTTCCTAAACATTGTAGCCCATTCTCCCCTCTTGTGAAGTAGAATTTTGCACGAAGGAGATGATGATCAGATTCCGTTTGGAATTTTAGGACAACAGCAACATCAGTCAGACAAAACCGTCGATTGAATATGATGTGGTCAATTTTGTTGTGGAATTGTCCACCGAGAGACTCCCATGCCCAATGTTTAGATTCAGCGATCTGGAACTGTGAGTTACCATTGATGGTTTTTTTGTCAACATGATGAACTCAGGCAGTCTCTCACCCTGTTCGTTTCATTATAAGCCAGGGGTCCCAATGTGGAGTTCTTTGGGTGATCTTCTCGGTCCTATCTTGGCATTAAAATCACTGACAATGATCTTGTAGAAGATGTGGTAATGTTTATAGAACTTCTCCATCTCCATCAAATTGAGAGTAGAACTTCTCAATTTCTGCTTCATCGTAGTTGGATATTGGTACGTAGACGACGAAGATAGAAACTGCCAGCAGTGAGGCACATCTATTCAAGCATAAGTGTCCCATTCTGGATGTTAGAAATTTGAATGAATCAATGCTCATGTCCAAGTTTGTGTTAATGAGAACATCGGCACCAACAATGCATCTTTTGTTGTTTATTCTGAGGAACAGTTCTTTTCCAGTGTCAAAAGTGGCATGATGTGATTGATGCCTTCTCGTCTTGGTCAGACCAATGATGTCGAACTTGATCTTCTGTGTATACACCACCAGGTTCTCAGTGCATGCTTTCTATGCCAGCATATGTGCATTGAAAGTACAGACAGTCATTTTATTCCTTCTTCGTTTTGGCTGCCTAGTTGGCCTTGAGATTTTATCAGCTTCTCCTTGCTCATCCTTCCTAATGCTGCCATATCAGAGGCTCTTTCAGGGTCAGGGGAATGAGGTTCATTGTTTTTACTGGCTTTAGTATATCAAATACACCACAGGTAGCTTGCCGGGCTCTCTGAGAGGGATGGAGACTTTCAGAGCAGCATCTAATCACCCTTATTGATGTTCCCTTGACTCACACCACATTTACACCCCATCAAATATGGTGTGGTGATCTTGGAAGATGGGTATTTAGTTGTAGGATGACATTGCTTTGTCCTTCCTCCACAAGGAGCTTAGGTTTATCTGGTTACACCCATCACAGTGCTCCTGAGGCATTTCCGATCCATTCTGTTTATCTGTAAATTCTTCCCTATGCTCTCCTCCCCAACCAGTTAATCAGCTTTCCCCCTAATCAGACTATGTTAACTTGTAAGGTTAGATTCCTCAGAAATCTATGATTTTATATGTATGAGTGAAATATTGCCTTTCTCCTCTCCTTATGTCTTCTGAACAGTTTACTTTAAAGCAATGCCCCTTTTGTATGGATACAGGAAGACCATTAACATTATGCTTCGTAACTTAGGATTTAGTTGGCTTTGAATATTATTCATTCCCAGGCATCTGCTTTCTCAACTTAAGCCTCTGTTGCCCTTAGTTCCTAACACCCCAAAGGCAGGGTCCCGACGAGGGACTGAATGGACCCAGGGTAAGCAGTGAGATATCCTGGCATCGAAATGGGCCAGGCCAAAGTGCCACAATTCTTAACTATAAGTTAAGAGTTTGATCATAGACAAATGCTGTCATGATCCAAAAGTAACGAAGAAACTAGGATCCTGCTAGGGGTGGGAAAGTCTATCTGGCCTGAGCACTATAGTCTGAGGTCGAAATGACCCTAGGAGAGCAATTCTATAAGTTTAAGATATTTCTTACTGTATCCATACAAAATGATTTATATTATATATGCTTATATGCTTGTTGGACAAAGAGAGGAGAAACACACCCATGGGATTCTGCTCTAGGGTAGGTCGTCCTGCTGAAGGAGGATCTGTCCTAGGAGCGGCTTTCCCTGAGGGAAAGAATTCTACCCCTATTGATTGTGACCGCACCTATGTGTAATTGTTACCCCAATCCTTCAGCCAGAGAGATATGATGAGACTGTAGAATGGGCAAGGGAGGCAGAGGCAGAGAAAGGAGACTGGTGTGATTGGAATAAACTGCGACTAAGACCAACCAGCCTGGCCCTCGTTCCTTCCCTTGCCTGCCCATCGCTATCGACCTCCCCAGGGTGGGGAAAGAAAGGTGAGACTATCGAACCTGAGTGGCGGGAGAGATAGAGCCACCGCCCCTGTGCTGTGCCCCTTTTCTGAGTTTACACATTAAATGTCTTATAATGTGTTCTGTGGAACTTCTCTCATGCATGAAGCTTGGCCTGAGCATCCAGAAAGTGGCCTGGAGTGTGGCGGCGGCGGGGTAGTGAAGTTAGTGGAAGATCTCACCATTCTACAAGGAAGTGATCATCTATGGAAAGACAGAGGTTTGGCAGGGTGATACCATTTCACCAAAACTCTTCAGTGCCACCTTCGAGAATATAGTGCGACAACTGGAATGGGAAGGGATGGGAGTAAAGATAGATGGTTGGCAACTACACCACCTCTGCTTTGCTAATGACATCATTCTAATAAAATCAGACATTAGCCAAGCAGCACAAATGCTGGCCGACTTCATCCTTGAGTGTGAAAAGATCGGACTGCAGCTGAATCTCACTAAGACAATGTTTATGAAAAGCAGACTAGTTGCTGACGTTCCGTTTGCTCTCAACAAAACGAACATCTCTGAATGCAGCAGTTATGTGTAACTAGGTCGATAACTCAATATGACAAACAACCTGGAACCTGAGTTGCGCAGGAGGAAGAGAGCAGAATGGAATGCCTTCAAGAGCGTTGGAAAAAATAGCTAAAAGAATGAAGAACCTATGGTTCCAGGCACATCTCTTTGACTCCTCTGTTATTCCTGCACTAACATATGCTTCAGAGACTTGGGCCCTATGAAAATAGGATGAGAACACTATTCGGATCACACAAAGAGGAATCAAAAGAGCTATGCTTGAAATATCATGCTTCACTCAAGTGAGAGAAGGACTCCAGAGTTTCATCCTCCATAGACGCATAGACGATCGAGAATTAGGGATGCTGTCTTGTTTGCCAAGGCATCGAAAATCAGATGGGCTGGACACGTAATGTGATTTGAAGACGATCACTGGACTAGAGCTGTTACAGACTATATTCCACATGACGTCAAAAGAACACATGGCTGCTGTCCTATGAGATGGTCAGACTTTTTCAAGACCTTGAACAAGAGGTTTGAGGCTCTTCGTGTTCCTGTAGTGAGCAGAAGCCATTTGGCTACACTAGCAGGTGACAGGGACAAATGAATACGTTACTGGTGCCTGCTAGAGCAAATTGATGAGTAACGTGATATCGAGTGATCGAGTGAATTAAATTCGTATAAATTAACCTTTAAACTTTCTCAATTTGTCTTATACTAGCTTATTTAATCAGACCCTTAAGAATCTTAGCAAATTAATTTTAATAACTGAGGGTAAAGACCAAATATGTGACAAAAATCTCCCCCTTGCTCTCCTTTTTATTTTTTTTGTTTTAAGAAACACCAAGTTGTGCTTAGAGCTTGCTTCTGTCTCTGTTCTCAAGGCTTACTCCTGGCACTATTTTCAGAGATCACTCCTAGTAGT